CTGTATGCTAGGCTCTCCACAGCAACGCAACATTTTGGTAAATAGTTGGATCGAGGAGACACAGGCGTGCGTTTGAACGAAAAGTCTTTTTCTTTTAAAGGGTCATAATATGCAGGCATTTCAGGCACCACTTGTTACTTCTCTTTATAATTAATTACTTGTTCAGTGCCTGTAATTATCTACACAAAACCTCAAGTTTGCTACAACGAACACCCGCATTCAACGAGATTTTAGGTCAGGCCCAGCGACCTCATTGAATACAAGTCCCACTGTATTCCCTTTTCAATGTGCAACAAGCGAAAAAGGAAATAATAATTTCATCTCTGGTTAGCTCTTTATTCAATAAAACATTGAACAGGGAATAATTGGCTAAAATTGTCTGTACAACTTTTTCCACAACATTAGTATTAGAAAAACAAAAAAATAAAAGGCATGTGCTGCACAATTATGATAAAAGCTTAGCTCAAAAGGCAAGAAGTCGCAAAGGCACTGCTAACGGTTTAGTATGGGAAAAGTTTGATGACCCCTTTCATCACAGAATTATTAAAGAAGTGGGACTTCTGATTAGACAGGACTGTGCCAAGCAGTAAGAAAGCAATGAATACCCAGTTGAGGACTCAAACCAAGGTTGTCCACATTGCTAACCATTGATACTAGACAAAGTGTTCTCTCTGCCTAGGATGCCATGGCTCTACAAAAGAATATAATATGGCATCAGCAAACTATGGCTTGCAGGCCAGATTCAATGAGTGAGCAGTTTAAGTCTTGCGGGCGAGTCGATCTAGCGATTAGTAAGTAATGAACGCAGCTCGCGATGAGATGATAAGTTATAAAAAACAAAACTGTCTGTTTTGAACATAACTGAATAGATATCTGCCCTGCTGGAAGCAACTGCTGCAATAGATAAAAATTTGTATTTCATTAAATGCTTTTTTAACCTTTACCGTACATCAGTATTTACATGTATTACTATTCCTCGGGGCGGTGCTACTGACTGAAGTGTCTTTAGGCCATTCCCAAAGGGGGGGCATTAACATGTTCTTATGCACAGTAGAATTGTAAATGGTCCGATTCATCAATGTCATGCTAATAATTGTGCCTGAACTGCAAGAGGGAACTGCTGCTTATTCTTTCCTAATCCTTACTATCATCATTTTCCCCCTACTTCTTTAGTATGTTTGTCACACTCTTGTGACCCGTTATTTCCAGGGTGCCTTGTTAGTCGAAGCAGACTTTGTGCTGTTGAAGCTAGAGAGGTGAGCAGAGAAAACCAGATTCTAAAGGCCATTGTTTCAATGTTGGACATAGAGTTTTTGAGGTGTTCGTAACTGCTCTTAGACGTGGAGCTAGCCATATCATAATTAAGTGAAATTTAAAACGTTCAGTACGATTTTCGATACACAACGTACGGTAAAGGTTAAGAGCTTAGTTACCTTATTTAAAAACCAATTTTGCCTAATTTTCTCCTGCTTTAGCCACCAACCCCCATTTATGACACGCTTGCCCATGCCTGCTTTATAACTTTCAGAACACCTCAAAATCTATATCTATAAGTATAAAATATCTGCGTTCAGGACTCTACTTTGACCCAAATGACATAATTTCCTTTCTCTTGCTATCGAATTCTCTCCCAGCATCAGCTGAATGATCACAGGTTTCTCCTATGTTAAAGCGCTTAATCAGCTGCTTGCACTGTATGCTTCTCTTGAAGAAGAGGATATTACCGGGTGTTCTGGGGTCTGCTGGGATAATAATAAAGTGTACGGCACATAGACCTTGCTGTCGAGCAGGGAAAATTATGCACTATACAGATGCTATTTATCATTATTTATTTATCTATTGTCAAGTACTTTTAGGCATACAGTGACTTGAGAGCATCTTTAAGTAACACATGCTCCTCCTTTCTTAAAAATCAGGGCATAACATCACTTTCTCTTTCAACAGCAATGATGCGGTACTGTTTAGAGAAACCTTCGATTCCTTTAGATAAAAAAATTCAAGGTCTTCTAAAAATTACTTACATTTACATGAGTAATAAAATTTTATTTACCAATAGAAACACAATGAGCACATCAACCTGTCTTGAACATAATTATGTATGCCCTTGCATCACACTTATATCAATGCAAAAACGTCACCGGCTTTTTTTTTTCTTTTAACATTTTTAACATGCATTCATAGAATTTCACTCTCTTTGAAGACCACACAATGCCAATCTATCAATCTCAAGTCAATGTACGGAAGCAATGATGCCAAGTTTTCAGTCTTTGACTAGCATTTATAAAAACACTGACCGCCATTTTATTTAAGGCTAAGAAGAAGTTGGTGAAGGGAGTATAAAGCTGAAAATGAGGATAACAAATTCAAATTCTGGATTAAAGAATGTGATAGGTTTAAGCAATTTTTTTCAAAAGTACCAAAAACTGGGGCTGAAAATGAAAATTAGGACAGTGGAAAAAATCAAGCTGTGAGGCTCAACTGCAGTCTGTAATAGGTTATACTAATTGCATAAACCACCGAAGACAATAGATAAAATACAAATCACCAGCCTCTTTTGCAACATATAACAGCGTGTATATTATAATATAATAAATATATTATACTTTTATATATATATATATATATATATATATATATATATATATAATATATATATATATATATATATATATATATATATATATATATATATACTCTGTCACATTTTTAAGTATACACATTTTGAAGCTCAATAAAACAAAATCAATGCCACCAATTACTTTCAAATTTACACATTGATTGCGTGATATACCTGTCGCTGGTGAGCTGTTTTCAGATTTCTGAACACGCGAGTGGTTTTGTATCTGCATGCGTGTTCCATGTTTCTTGGGTTTTTTAAATTAATCATGATACGGCAATGATTTGTTTAAAAAAGAAGCACACATCAAAGCTTTGTTATTTTTGTAACAATTCGCCAGTGATAAAACTTGTCTTGTCTACGTTTCATGATGTCACGCCATACGAGAAAATGTGCGAAATCAGCTCGTTGGAATGATCTGCGGGGGTGCCTCAGTATCCAATGCTGCGAGACATTTTAATGTAACACGAAGAACTGTGTACACAACAATGGATCGCGAGAAAACAACAAAATCAGGAAAGGATCGACACTGCCAACGTGGTAGAAGAAAAACTACTCCATGAGAGGATCTTTTAATACGCCTGTTGCATCTACAGAATCGTTTCAAAACGGCAAGAAGAACCAAAGATGAGTTGAACAACATGCGACAACCCCAGCCTTAGACACTTCCTCAACTTGAGAGAGCATCGCATGAAGAGTGGAATAACATCCCACAACAGGCAGTGCAGCGATTGATTGATTCAAGGCGGCGACGATGTCAGGCCGTCATTAACGCTACTGATCGTGTTACTTTTGTAGACCACCCCCACACTCTTGTAAGTCATGAATAAACCTGTTACGTTAACATTCCGTATTGTTGTTGCTTTTTTCGTATTTAAAATTTATTGAATTAGTATTCCTGAAATTTTAAAAAATATCAACTCATTGTGAAACTAGCTATTTTCATTTTAACACAGTGTATACTTAAAAATGTGACAGAGTATATATACATACAGTGGAGTCCACTTATAACGAGTCCGCAAATAACGAGAAGTCTGTTATAAAGACACTATTCTAAAACCCCGTTTTTTTCCCTTCTTTATCTTTGTAAATAAAATACTGCTCAGTGCTATTGCACAATCAGACAGTCACGCGACTCGATTATAACGGAATATTGTAGCTGCTGTGCACAGCGCACTGACCAATCAAACATATAAAACCTCGCCAGTAGAAAAAGTTGTTGGTGATCCAGCAAAACAAAGAATGGGAGAGCCCACGTGAACCAACAATGGCGGCCTGAGCGAACGAGTGGGGAGGGTGTGGCATGTGTAGACAAGCAGAAGGCATCGTGTGATAGGCTAGCCCAGTCTAGATTATCTAGGCACACCGTGCATCTCACTTCTCTGGTGCGGGATGGAGAGGTCATACTGCTGTGATAGATGGAGTGAATGTGTGACATGCGCAAACATACGCAACGCCCCACATGGTGTTATGGGGTGGGGGACAACACAGCGGGCGAGTTAGCCTAGAGCCAGAGCCTCTTCTATCTGATCGCCAGCACTGAGCTGTCAACATTGCTAGTGCTAGAGAAAGAGACCTGATTCAATTTTTGATCAAGTAAGACCTAGAAGTCATGTTGAACAAAATCGTCATCAGGGGAAATACAAAAAGAAATAAACAGAACATCAAACTCATAGATTAGGCCTACGTTACTATTTCCCTTGAATTCAGTACTGGATCCCTTATAACAAGAATCCTGCTACAACGGACATTTCACACCGGTCCCCTCCCTCTCGTTATAACAGGAATCCACTGTATATATATATATACATATATATATATGTGTGTGTGTGTACATATAGGTATAAGTGAGGCAACCTGCTAGAATAGGGATTATGTTGTCCTCAGAAAATTTTTCCTTTTTGCTACCATCTCGTTGCAAGAACTCTCCAGAGTATTCTGCACTTTAAAATTTCAAAGTTATTGAGGAAAAAAGTCTTAACATTTTTTTAAAAGCACAATGTGAGAAAAACTGATTCGAATTATCAACATGAATGCTCAGTGTTTTCAAAATTGTTTGTCTTAGAAGTACAGTCTTGGCTTGTACTTTGGCTCTAGCATACCCAGTTTTAGAGTTGTACACTTGTAAAACAGCACAAAAACATTCCCAAATAGAATAAACAATTAATAGAATTTTAAAACAGAAAAAAATAAGTGAAATTAAGAGTAAAACTGATGGAATGTCAAAACTTTCGATGGCAAAGCTGTAAACACGGAAGTAAAACGGGAGTATGGGAAGGGAGGATGAGGAGGAGGAGGAAGAAGTCGGATGGGCAATGAAAATAGTTTGCTCTTGCTCTTTCAAATTCAAGCACACTGAGAACCAATGGAAAGGGAGAATATAAATGCCAAAGAATGCCACAGTTTATTTTCATTTATACGGTTGGTGACCAAAACATAGGCTGAACAAAGAGCCTCAACTGCCACTGTTAACGATGAAAATGTACATTTTGCTTGAAAAAGAATATGTGAGGAACCGTGATGAAAGCATGCGCTCGTCAAAATTGTTTTAAAAATTTTAATCTATATTTTTATTTCCGTTGGGCAATTTCGAATTTTGTTGGGGGGGTTTTTGGTCTTAACACCTTTAATGTTCATTTAAGAACACATTTAAGGGAGGAATTTACTGAAAACATTGATCAAAGGCAGAAAAAATCTAAATTTGTGCTTTCCAAGGACTCTCAAGCTTTGGAAGTCACCAAATTTTAGCGGCATTTTCTCGCCAAGTTTTCCTCTGAAACCGGGCAACCCCCACCTCCTTCAATTGCCGATATCTCGACTCATATTCAAGATATATATATATGACAAATTTTTTCATTAAAAACAAGACAAATGAATAAGCTTTAAGATGATACCAATTCAATAACTTCACATGCCGAAAAATTGACGAGTGCCTGATTCCACCACATCGTGACGACACAAGTAGAGCATGGCAGAAATAAATCAAAATTAAATATTTTATAGACCGAATTTCCGTACATACATTAATAAAAATGTTGTTGAACTCCTGGTACAGGTATATGAAACTCGACCCAGGATGACCCAGTTTCATGATTTGGCTCCAGGCTCAAAACTAAGTTTCCTGAAACATTCCCAACTCTTGGATAGCTCATCACTCATATAAAGTAAATAATGTAAATGTTAGGCGCTTTTTTTCCCAAATACTCAGTTCACTCAAATATTAATCTCTGTAACAAGTACAGACATCTACACACTCACGTGCACACTCAAAAACATTCTGCTGTCTCAGGCTTTTCTTCGCAAGGGTTGATCACCATCATCTCTGTATATCAAATGCCAAGTCAATATTTACTAGTTGATAGCACCGTTAATCAAATAAATCAGTTTGTGGTTTTCCAATGGCAGCAGTTGTGAAGTCAGCTTATCCTCTTGCCTCAATTGTATAGGTCCATCATTTAACGATTCCCTTTCTTTTCTCTCTCCGAACACATCGAGGGCAGAAACCCTTTTGGGAAAAACAGTGCCTGCAAAGGGAATCAAAATGAAAACACAGATTTTCTCACAGCAGAAGAAATAAAATATAGATTTAAAAAAATTTCTGTATATTTCAAAGTGGTCTTTTAACTCACTGGAGACGGTTCAAGCAACATTTGCGAGCACCAATATTTCCCAGAGAGCCGGTTCACGCACCCCCCTGCGAGCACAAGTTTCGCGTTTTCTCCTCGGCAAAGTAAGCGCGCGAACGCTGCTTGAACCGTCTCTTACGGTGCAGCCGACCTTTGTTTCGTTACGTACGAAGTTTCACCGGAATAAGCTGGAAACTCTTGAGTTATCAACCCGGAAGGAAAGCTAATCACACTGAGGCCCTACTTTTGTTTCTCTGACTGGTGTCTGTTCTCGCAACACTTTGTCACTACGATGGCAGCATGTTTAGTTTCAGTAAGTTTTATGGCACTTGCAACACAATAAGGTCGAAGATCAGGTGTTACAAGAGAGTAACAAACACGAAGGAAGAGAGATCAGGACGATAGATCTTTGATAGGAAAGGGGGAGCAAACCACACCAGAGCACCCACCAACCACCCACTCGGCACCACGAAAAGCAAACATATTTCAAGTGTTTGCACGACTTTGGCAGTTCAGAAAATTCTGATTATGATATTTTAGACCATGGGGATCCTGATTTCAAAGTAAATGGGCATCAAAGCACTGATTCTGATAGCGAATGTTCTAGATCTAGACTAGGCGAAATTCCGCTTCGTCTGGAGCCCTGGGGTTTTTTTCACACTGAAGTGGATTAGACAGCTAATACATAAGGATTACCATATCGATTACCTGCCTATTCATGAGTTTGGACTTTTTATTCATTTTGAAACACAAAACACAATAAAAAGACACACATAAGATCAATTTGGCGGGGGGTTGTTGGTTTTTTTTAACATAAGACATTACGTCAAAAAATTTTGGAGAGCAGCAAATTATAGCACATTTTCAAAAAATCATTTCTAAAAATCCATCTATAAAAGATATTGCCTTTCTGGGTTTTTTGTCATATGGTGCATGTTTAGATCTGTTATGTGTGTAAAAATGGTGGTTGTATGTCTTTGGGAAGGGTGTCGTTTGAAACATTGAAATACCCCCACAAACGCCAGTCTTCAGCATATGTAGACCCAAAAAAGGCCCAGTCTCCAGTGAATTAAGTAACACTCCCAAATACTTTTTCCTCTGTACTAACATCTTTTCTAATTGCCATACATGATAGAAGTGGATAGCGTAAAATGCTTGTCTTCGAAAAAAAAAACACCAAAAAACAAAAGAGAATTCCATAACACAAAAATTTCCACATGCTTGAATAGGACCAAGTGACTATATATCCTAAAGGCAGACAACAGTTACCTGTGCAGGACGTTGGAGCATTTTGCGCACACAACCGCGATGCTGTCAAAGGGAAAAAGGATGTCCTGATCACCACACAGCTCACAGCAGAAGCCACGACCTTGACAGAGCTGCCATGGAGAAAAAGTAGTATTTATATCAAGTACAGAAAAACCTCCATTTGACTTATTTCCCCAGGACACAATATTTTGAACGTTTTAGCTGTGATATGTATTTGCCAAAACTATCGGGGCAACACAGGAGGCTACCTGGTAATATTTATTCACAATTGAAGTATAGAAGCCTTCATTTCAACCTTTTATGTACAGTGGAACTCGGATTCAATGAGGTCGCCGGGCCTGACATAAAATCTCATTGAATCCAAGTGTTCCTTATAGCAAACATGAGGTTTTGTGTAGATAATTACAGGCACTGAGCAAGTAATGTACAAAGAGAAGTCACAAGTAGTGCCTGAAATGCATGTATATTATGAACTGTGTAAAAAAAAAAAGACTGATTTATTCAAATGCACATGCCTGTGTCATCTCGGATGTTTACCAAAAAGTTGTATTGCTGTGTAGAGCCTAGCATACTGCAACTTTTGATTCCATAGACCAGCCCACAATTAATTACGTAGATCTACGTCAAGACTAGGCTAGCTTATCATTGTAATAGTGATCAGTTGCCGAGGGGGGAAAAAAGACTGACGCGTTTGTATCTGTGATGTTCAACGACCGGACCGCTAGTGCCCCCCCCCTCCCCGACACGCACACACAGCCACACGTGTGCACGCCATCCATCCGACCCCGACACACGCCACAGTAGACACGTGCACATGCCAGCAACGCATGTGTTGGCATGAAAAAAGGCAGCTGATTGGTCGCATGCAATCAGTTCAGTGAATAACGGTTCACGATGCAGGTGCAATGAATGGTTTCCAGGAATAGATGAAGTCCATTGTGGGAGAAAAATGAGCAAAGCCGCATCTGCGGGGGCTGTTCACCCTGGAAGCGACCTCGTTGAATCCAAGCTTGCTGATTTAAGTGCTAGTTGAAACCAGGTTATTTTTTATTGATTTTAAAGAAGAAACACGGGGAATCTATCTCATCTAGTTGAATCCGAGTTCTCATTGAATCCGAGTTCCACTGCACTTTTAATTTTGGTTTTGGTTTTAGTTTAGACATTTTTCTCTCTATTAGATTTCAAATCTAATTGACGTGATGATGGTGACGGTGATGATGGTGACAAATTTTGGACACACAACAAAGACTTTGTTATAAGAGTGAATTAACTTGCACTAGGTATTTCCTCCTCTTTCCCCAATTCCCCCCCCCC